ATTGTACCGTTACAGTCTCTAAGCGTGGAGACGGAACGGACGAGCGAGAGACTGTGGAAGAGTCTACGCAGCCTAAAGTATATAGAATGATCTCGTATTTCGTGAACGTGAAGGGGATCCTCATCTCATTTCCCTGAGACCATTTATTGACCAAATCCCATATTCCCAGTCTATGTTTTGCTCTCATTTCCATTCCCAGTGCATAAAATCCCATTTTCCCAGCCCAAAAGGACCCCCATATTATTTTCAGAAAAAGACGGCTTTTCACAATGACCTTAGCTTTTTAAGCTTTAATTSTCATATCTTTTATAGCTAGGACTTGATAATTGAACTGCTTAAAAACACTATAATTTTCATGTACAACTCTATCAMGTTTGCGGCTCTGAGTTGACTTTCTGTCATTCCTGTCGCCATCGTTGTATACCCAAGAAATGAAGTAAGTCAATATAATACTAAGTAGTTTTTCGTAGCTAGACTAGCAAATAGTCTGCRTTTGACAAGACGTTCATTTTCTTTGTTAGCTAAATTCAATTGMGTTTTTCTGCATGTGACGACATAGCCGTGCATTGACTTTTAACTATCAGCCCAAAGGTTGTTTTAGGGTTCGATCTGTGAGTTAGCCGTGCCATGGCTTAGAACAAACGTCGACACTATATATTAAGCTATCGTTTAAACGGAAGAAAGAAAGAAAGAAAGAAAGAAAGAAAGAAAGAAAGAAAGAAAGAAAGAATAAAGAAGGAACAAAAAAGTAATTTTTCTATATTCATGCAGTAATACGTTTTACACTTTTTCCGAGGCATATATTTAATTTTAATTTTTTTCTTAAATCCAAATCATTTTCTTTTTGGTGTACGATTTCCTCTCAAGCTAATCATGATCATATTGTCTTAATAAGAATAGTCTATTGAAAAATGTTCAGTTTGTTGATCGCAGATGATTAAGTCAATCAGCTAGTTTATGTCTGAGTAATACACTTAATGAATCCATTATTCATTGCAAATTTGAATGGCACCAGTTTTCCAGTAACACAGCAGAGTTTTTGTTCCAAACAAATGATTTTCATGCAGTCTTCAATTTTTGCATGTTTCGACAAGCTGATGATTTATTTCGAGTAAAATATGATGTAGTTCATCAAGGTCGTGCGACATGAAAATTGCTGGGATTTTCCATCTCTTGATATAAAGATATACCTCAGGACTATCGGCCCCAGTAGAAGKGATATGGCGAGGTTACTTCCGATCAACAAAACATGTTTCTTTTTGGTTGAACTTGGCTTTGTTATTTCACGATATTCTAAATAACGTGTTATCGATTAATATATTTCAACAAGGCACACCATTGAAACATCTATAGCGAATAGACTTGATTTTTATCTTACTTTTTCCCCGCAGGAATGTTATTCTATTATTTCTGCAGCAACCTTAAACCAAATTCTTAGCTTTTCCCCTCTCGGAACACCCGTTTTGCCGATTTACAACCGAAAAAATGCTATGCGCCCTCAAAATGAACAGCTGCAAACTGAAAAACAATTTCAGTGATCACATTATTAGTATTGTTTGGCTATGTGATTGTGAACTAAGACATGTTCATTTTCCATTCATTGTCAGTGTATTTGAATCAAATACGAAATTAGGCAACGCTAAACAAAAGCAACTTAAACATTCATGTTATTATCGAAAAGCAATTCTCTTGTTTTCTCAGATTGTTATTGAGTTCATGGTAAAGAGTTTGACTTACAAGCCAACAAACCTTCAAAATATACTAAATTAGATTTACGACCAATGCACGAGTTACAGTCGTAACTCTGATATACAGCCTGTTTTGTACGATTTAGTTTAAGATAAAGTCCTTCCTAATAATTTAATTTAGCTTAGTTCAATTTCTTGTTTATTTATTTCCTGATATTTTATTTCAATCTTTGCCCGCCCATTTTTTCTGAATGATTCAGATTTCTTATCTCTTCCTCACTTGTCTTTTTTTTAATACTTTTTTTGTTTGATTGTTTTTTCCTATCATTGATATTTTACGCGTTCTCCAAGCCTCTTTTTTAATTTTAATTTTGTTTGTAATATTTTTACTTGATTAATATTGTTGTAAGCTTCATGTTTTTCCTCATTATCCTACTTACAGTTCGTGCATGATAAGGCGTCACGAAGGCAGGTGCTAACAGTTGAATCTGTTATCACCAACATTGATTAAACAGCCATTATGGAGCAATATTTCACGGTTTAAACACCGGTATTAAGGCAACAATAACTCTGCAAGAAAGAATTGGTCCTTCACGCACACAATGTCTTCTAGAGTGCGTACCATATATCCTATGATATGCACTCTAGAATGAGCTACATTAAACAAGATAGCTTGAACAAAACAGTTAAATCGTAGACATTGGTTTTTAGAATTTCCCTGGTTTTGTGATGTATCGGTGCTATATTATTTTTTGTTAGATTCTGCAATCTGAGTGAATTGACTAGCAGCGAGCATTATGTTCAATACATGTTTATGGCTCATTAATAAAAAAGAATAGAAAAACAAAAAGAGGAAAAGAGATTCACCAAATTTTCTATAAAAATTTTTTCCCCGTTGTTGTTGCAAGATATTTTGCTTAAAAGTGAATTAATTATTGCCAACAATACATTGCGCGCCCTTATAATCTGCGACAGAGTAAGACTATTTTGAGAATACTGCGTTTTTTGAACCCAAAGCAAGGCTACTCTGCAAGAAATACTCAAATCAACTGCTTTGAGCCACATTTATTGATGTATATCTTTCTGAGTATACGGACGCCAAAGAGATTCAATGGGTGAAACAGAGGGTAAACTACTTGAGAACTACTTAGTGTATTGTTCGAACTAGGGGTCATGGACCTGGGCCACTCTTTTTCCTTCTCTTACATATTACACAAATAAATGGGGGGGGGGGGGGACTGGACCATTTTTTAATACTGGAACACCGTCTAAATGGTGGATACGGCCCTGTAAACCCCAAAACAAAGTTAGTCCATAAGGATAGTTATATTAGCGAACATTTACGCAAAAATGTACCGTCACAAAGAGTACTTATAAACACATGGGCATAGAAAAGGCCTGCAATGGCGCTGAGTTGAAGAGTTTGCGTGAAGATTGCGTGCTGTATATCACGTCAATGGTAGCTTTGAAAGAAATATGGTTATCAAAGCAGTTACAGGAGAGAAATTCTATTCGTTTTTCAATATTATAATGAAATATGAGTTAAACCTATTCGACATTGGCATACAAGATGATTAATGTTGATCCTTTCTTTTTCAATTTGCGTGTTATTTGTATTGCATGCACTAAAGAGATCTTAAGTCTGATCTATTTTGAGTGTCTATTTTACTGTCCTCTCTAGTGAACTTGATGAGAGATGCTCGCTAACTAATAAAAAGCAGAGCAGAAGCCGGGGGTAGGGGCGATACGAAGGGAGAGTGACGGGAAGACCTAGGCTGTCTTAACTAAATAGTAATAGCACTCTTTGATAACTTTGTAAAACCACTGTGTTTCTTGATAACAGACTTTTACTCAGGGTTGATCTCATTCCTACGCCAAAAATTTGCAGGCACCTACAGCATATTTAAAAAAATTGAGTAACTTCGAGTACGTGGTCTGTTTGACACAACATAAGATTCGACAAAGCATATTAATGATGAAAAACAGGATGGAAACCAGAATTGTACATGTCTTCATTATGATGATTTAGCTGCTTTTGAAAGACTTCAAGCTTGTTATTATTACTGACTTATTAGCTATTAACCATAATACTCATATATATATATTGGTTATTAATTATTGACTCTATTAGGTCAGTCACGTGACCTTTAAGATAGAAAACACCAATAGATCCCTTGCATGAATGTGACGTCAAATCAGCTTAACCCAAAACAATTCCATTCTCTTGAGGATTGAAATCTTTTATGATGTTAATGATTTCAATTGTTTTGATCCCTAGGTAGGGATTTAGTGCAAGAGGTCTATTGCGAAAATAAAATGGGTCGAGTTTGACTCATCAATGCATTTTTTAAAGAAACATTAAGAAAAATAAAATCTTATAAATTCGAGTTCATTGGTCGGGCATTCTGTATTCCATTGGGAAAATGTTCCATCGTTTGCATGCAAACTTGGGATCTTTTCTTCAAATTTTTAATTAATATGTCAGTAGCTTATATAAGACGTACCTTTTGATTTTTCCAGAAACTGGTGTTTTATTAGT